TATATATACACATACATATATACATATATATGCAGGTTAATTGAAAGAGGGTGGAAGAGCAGAGCAGTACTAGTAGTGAGCGTGTACTTACAAGCAAAGGTTATATTAGTTCTTACACAGACAAGGTAATTAATACCAATAGATGCGCGGGTACTCGCACACACCTGACCAATGTCTGTATAGTGTAGACTCTAGTATATACATTATGCTATACTAGAGCTCCAATATTTACACATTAATATATATATATATATATATATATATATATATATATATATTAGAGTTATAGTATATAGATATTGATATACACACAAATTCAAATCTACACGTACGGATATGGAGATTATGGGCACGATGCGGTCTTATATTAGTCAGTAATACAACAATAGCTTGTTCTAAATGCACTTCATTTATGATCCCTTCTCTATTGCACTGATTCAATCGTAATGATGCCCGCTATTCATTTATAAACAGAGTGAAACACAGTTTATTTATGATTATGTCCAATTATGATTGTTAAGACCAGGAGCAAGACAATAAGTAAATATTCCCCTATTATAAGGGACAAGAAGGAATAATAATTATACAAAGGACGATACAATGAGGAAATAAAATATAATATGGGGGATGATTCCTTGTTATCTTACTCCTGCTATGATGTATAATACAGTCAACCTTCTATATGCTAAAAAGTGACGTCATCCACGAATAGCGCTTACGTCATTAACGTAGTTCATCGTGATTCAATATAACATCGTACGCAGCGGTATAACGGGTGGTATTCCAGGTGGTATACTCCTATGTAAATTGCCCTGCCTATACTGCACCATGTAGCACCATGTACACTATGCGTGCATCTTGTAGCACATCTTAGACTTTAACTGTAGACCCTACAATTCACATACCGCCGCATATAACACTGTACGTATCACGATAACCTCCGCTAGGCGCCGCCACCATGCACCCCCGTCAGAATGCCGACAATGTCAGCGACTACACAGTCGCGAGAACGATATCCATACAGTACGTACAGATGTGCACCACACTATAATAAATATAAGGTTGACTGCATGTATAGTAGTAGTACGTGAGTAGTAAACGTTACAAAACGTAAGTGAATTCGTGCACGGCAATGCTTCTGTTGCACCGCCGCCGTTCCTGTATTGTCAGAGAGAAGAACCGACTGCCATGATACCAGGAGTGGATAATAGATCCTCTATATGATCCACTCCTGATGACACGATATGCCACGAAACCAACCTCACAGGGAGGAGACCAATACAAAATAGATATATTCAACACGAGATCGGTTACCCATCCATTGTACCCTGTCTGCACCATATCCAAGGGGGGGGGTCACCTATAAGCTTCCAGCATGTCCCTCCTATTGAAACGGCGCTGCCAGTGGTGCACCACACATAACTAAATAAGGGTAGCGGGAACGCGCCACGGGGGCTTCAAGCAGGGGCGGATCCAGAAGGTTTGGGTGACCAGCTTCCATAGTAATTTAAACAAAATTAGGCTATATTTAGTGCATTCTGGTGAATTTTGAGCGTCAATTCTGAAGATACCCAGCCTGTGACCGGTTTCTGGAAACCGGTGCAAACCGGCCTAAATCCGCGCCTGGGCTTGCGTGGTACCGTATCCAGAAGGGCATAACACACGACGTATTAAGTCAGCAGTGTAAATAGGGGGTGGTGGGGGGGGGAAGATGGTTACAAGCCTTATACATACTACGCAAGGTTGGTAATACTGAATGCCCCACATCATCGTTTATAACTACTACGTAACCGTACGAGAAGCAGTGGAATCACAACAACTAGACACTGGTTACCACAGCTGGACGTTGGCTACCACAGCTGGACGTTGGCTACCACAGCTGGACGTTGGCTACCATAGCTGGACGTTGGCTACCATAGCTGGACGTTGGCTACGACAGCTAGGCGTTGGTTACCACAGCTGGACGCTGGCTACCACAGCTAGACATTGGCTACCACAGCCAGACGTTGGCTACCACAGCTTATAAAACCCCAGGTCATCTATATAACTAACATAAGCGAGCCATGACGCAGTTGTTTATCAACGTCTGCGATGTTGTCTCTATGTTATACACACGGCGAAAAAACGCGAAAGCGAACATGCCCGCGTGTATTGATCTGTCGTCGTATTCTTACAACCTGTAGCTATTGCAGACGAACCCGTCTTTTAGAATCGTCGCGGTGGCCGCTAACGGAGCATCGGTGTTCGGCAGGTAGATTGCTGACGCTGCGGGCTCTGTCACCCACCTGTAAAACCCAGCCCAGCGCCTCCCCGCTGCCTCGCTGATTTAGCCGTGATAGTCATCGAATCCGTGGAGCGCGCGCGCTGACAGGTGTCTGAAGAAAGACAGAACAGGTGTCAGAAGAAAGAAAGACAGACAGAAAGAAAGAAAGAAAAACAGAAAGGCAAACGAAAGACAGAACGAATGACAGCAGAAAGACAGAAGAAAGACAGAAGAAAGACAGAAAGACAGAAAGAAAGACAGGTGTCTGAGAATATTTGATTCCCCGCCGATTTTGTTAATGCTGTAAGCCGTTGCATACTTCTTGCGTCGTTCTGACGCACGTGCATGCACGCGCGAGAAGTTGCGTCAGCGATCACGCGTCTGCGTCAGCAATCACGCGACTATATCTTCCGCGTCCGCCGCGCTGCGTCTGCGTCAGCGATTACGCGTCTGCGTCAGCGATCACGCGTCTGCGTCAGCGATCACGCGTCTGCGTCAGCGATCACGCGTCTGCGTCAGCGATCACGCGTCTGGGTCAGCCGCGTCGGGTCGCTATCGGTGCAATTACTTCCATCCCCGAAAGCCCGGGCGTATCGGTACGGCCGGCGGCGTCCGCCACCGCGACGCACGCATTGTAGCATCGAGTATAACATCATAGCATCCATTTGTTACCTATTGCATTGACCCGTCATAACCACCTCTGATACAAAGGAGGACACGTCCCTCTAATTGCCTTATTAGTCAGCGTATTTGACTTCTTGTCGCCATGGCAACGGCGAATGCATTTGGCGGGATTCACGCGCGAAGAGGATCAATATTCATGGACGATGTGCGCATAGGTCTGCCAGCGTGGCGAGCTATATACGTCGGCGCGGCGGCGACTGTGGCCAGCAGTATGGTGTGTGCGAGCGCGCGGCGCGCACCGAGGGCCCTTCCTCCCTTCCTCTAGTCGGCAGCGGCGGCGGCGTGCTCGTCTTGTGTGCCTGTGCGTGTGAGACGACGACGACGACGACGACGGGGATGGAGCAGAGAAGCCCGGACGAGATTCTTCCGTCTGTGCCGCTGCTGCTGCTGCATGGCGACCGATCGGCAGGTGAGTTCTATATAGGCAATGATTTATGTACGGACACGAGCACTGCGCTCTCTCTCCGCAGTACATACCTTGGGTATAGGTTTCGGTTTTCCACGTGCCCCCAACGCGCTCCTTCTCGTGTCCAGGCGCGTCCGTAGGCGGTGGCTTCCCCTCGTCTTCCTCCGCGGTCGCGTGTTGGCTGCCGAGGCCCCCGTCGTAGTTAAGGTAGGGGAATTTACGCTGCATATAATTACTAGAGATAAGTATGAGCCCACCCAGCCACGTAGCTTCGTATATCCATCTCCCTGTTGTGTGACCTTGCCGATTTCTTGCTGCTGACTAGCAGTTTGAGCGCGAGTGATGGACGAGTGAGTGAGTGAGTGAGTGAGTGAGTGAGTGAGTGAGTGAGTGAGTGAGTGAGCGCGAGTGATGACGAGTGATTGACAAAATAACATGAAAAATTCACGAATGCAGCTACTCCGCGTGTACACGCACGCACTAACGCACGCACCCACGAAGGTACGCGGGCGCGCGCTCATGCAAGCGCGAGGGTATGCTTGCACGCACACGCATGTACGCATGCAGGTTCAACACGATTATGCACTAGGGCTACATTACAAGATAAATATGGCGGCGGCACACAGTCGTCTGCGGCTCTATGTGCTGCCGCCGCCGCCCCCACGCGAGCGC